TCCACAGTTGGGACAAGTCTATAGTTCCACCAAGAATACCCACTGCTAAACAATGAGCTGCAGCAGCTTGCAAAGAAGGTTTTATATAGCATGTTTCGTACTCCAACAATGCCAGCTCGAGAATGAATTTTCCCAAACTGTGATGCTCACTTTGAACACCCGAAATCTCGTTGAAACTCCTCAGGAAACGTAAAGATGAAGGACATCCCAATTTGAAATCCAGTTTCTTCAGTACTTTCCACTCCATTTCGAGAATCTGCTTTCCAGAAAAAGTATTATCACACATGTAGACCAAGTCTTTCAGCTCTAGGACATCTGTTTCCTCATACTTGCAGGAAATGAAAATGGCAGTAATGCCAAGCAGCTGCAGATTTTCTCGGGTAACTGTTTCATCTTCTTGCAAAAACCTGTCGACAATAGATACAGATAGATGGAGGGTATCTATGTGCAGTTCAAATTGCATGTGGACCTCAATTATCCAATTTATCAGAATTGTACGCATTCTTGAGGTTATATCTTTTCCCTCCAGGAACCCCTCCTTTAGAGAGCATTCGGTTTCCTGGTTCCTGAGGTATTTGAATATATCCGCAGTATATTCTGTATTCATGGAATCGGGGTATATAACATCCAGGTGTTGTGAGGAATAACTGTTCAAGTTATCCCTTTCAATGTGTATTTCCCCATTGGTATTTTCTTGACCTACTTCGCGTCTAGGAACGTTTTTCACAGATTGGATAAGTCGTTCGGGTATCTTCTTGGTTTGTTTGAAAGGAAGTGTTCCGTTGACATTTTTCTTTAGTTCTGTATAGGGGTTCACTATATAGCCACATTTATCACTGGGCACAACGTTCTGTATCATATTTCCAATTTCGCCAAGAGCAGTCCTCTGATGATTTGATGCTGTTCTAGCGTGACCGTTAAGGAATTGATTCATAGCCATTCTGAAAAAAAAACAAAAAATTTAAGAATAATAGAAGTTAGTGCACATTCAGTATTTGATGACTTTTCAATAGTAATGTTATTTCATACAGCTCTCCGGGCTGGTTTTAATTGAGTGTGTATTATTGAAAATTGTTATCAATTAAAAACACGAAATCATATAAGATATTTGCATACGTCTGGAAGCGTCTTCAGAAACTTCGGTTTTTCTAGTCATTAGCCGATTTTTTCCTTCTGAGCTGTCTGTATACACGACATTCAGAAACGTTGAGTTAGGTATGGGGGTGGTCTGCAAAGTTTTCGATCCAACACTGATACAAGACATTTTTTCATAAGTCATAGTCTCCTCTTAACTCTACTCGCAATAGTAATAGTACTCCACGAAATAATTGTTCAGGAAGGTGATTGCCTCTGCACTTGACGAAAAACTCTGTCCTCTGAGTGCAATTTTCAGACGAGGGAATGGAAAGGAGTCGCTTGGGCCTAGATCTGGTAAGGCAGATGGTCAAGCAATTCAAACCGTAATTCGTGCATTTTTGCCATGGCAACCGCTGATGTCTGAGACGGTGTGTTGTCTTGGTGAAACAGAATTTTCTATTTTTGCAAATGTAGCCGTTTTTCAGGGAGTTCTGCCTTCAGCTGTTATGGTTTCTATAGATCAAATAGACCATTATGTTCTTCTCAGCAAATTGACGAAATTGGAACTCTCTAACCAACTGCTTACTCTTATTGAATCATATCTAGTTAACAGCAAACAATTCGTCGAATATGAATATTTCAAATCGGCTCAGTACGTAGTTAGATCTGGGGTACCACAAGGTTCTAATCTTGGACCTCTTTCATTTTTAATTTTTATCAATGACTTGGCAACCCCTCGAATATTCTTAGCCTACTATTTGCAGACGACTTGAGAATATATTATAAAATCGACGATATTACTGACTGTCAACGTGTACAACATATAATCAAACTTTGGTGTAATAATAATCGTCTACAACTGAACGTGTCCGAATGTAAAACGATATCATTCACAAGAAAAAAGCGAACTTCAATATACGATTATTCAATCAACAATTCACAATAGAAAGTTTAGTCGGGATGTTACCAAATAACGTGCTTTCGAAAACTGTGATAAAATTATTTCGTTAGTTATCAATGTCCTTGGGATATTATAGCTGATAACAGCCCTACCAATCCAACCGCAACCTCACAAAATATATTGAGATATACTTATATATTGATTGATTGTGAGACATATTTCAAAAAGTTATCGAAATTAGATTTTTCTGTAACAATTATTTTCCTTCAATGTTATTTTCACACAAACTGAACCTTGTTTATATCGTTTGCACTTTGACAAATATGCCAGTTACTTTATCTATTATTAGAATATAACAATATTCGAAATGAATAAGTTTTACTTACATTCAGAAAAGTTTTCACAATATAACTCACAAATGTAATATTCACTGATTTCTTGACAACTGAAAGTCAATATGAAATGAGTTTGCATACTGGAATATGGATTGTGTAGGGAGTGTCCATGGAAGGGGTATTTTGGAAATCTTCCATATTCTTTCCTCGAATCGAAAAATTCAAAAAAACAGGTAACAAGGCGATTTGTTCATATTAGGTCTCGAAAGACAATACCCCATTACAAATTCCGAAATGAGATAAAGGAATCAGGTAGATTTATTTAGGTATATTCAAATATCCAGGTGAAGTGCTTTTCAGTTTATGTTTATTTTATCCTTCTGGATAATTTTCGAGAGTGAAGATGGAAAAGAGCAATGAAAGTCAATTGGAAGTTTTATAAATTGCCAAAGTTTCGACATATAAATACGTCTTTCCGAGGCTGAAATACATAATCGGGGTCAGATGAAAAAAATGAAAACGCAAGAAATCAAATCAAACGAACTACAATAATTGACAGCCATAAAAAGAGACAAAGTTATAGCTGTCCAGTAATGTGCTCTGTTTGACTTTGATTTCTGAAGTTTTCATTTGTTTCACTTCGATAAAAATAAAAGTCAAAACAGAGTGTTATGTGGGAAAATTCTGAATAATAGGTGCTTTTCTCTTATCTTTCTTGCATTCAAGTAAGTATAGTATGAAGTATAAATTTGACTGAAATTATCAAGATCTGTTTTCTTGTTTTTATAATGTGCTTTGTTATTGATGTGGGCCATTTCTAGTAAATAGTATAATTCTTTATGAGAGAACAGTTCCACCAACCGCCCAAAATGGACTGGATGATCTATTACAGCCCTTCATTTTTATTCAAGAATGAACACAAAAATTAATCTATATGATTCAAAACAATCACTTCATAATTTCTATTTATAAATTATAGTATAGTAAAGTCAACAATATCCAAAATTTTATGTATGGATTGTTCCAAAACATATAAAGAACAGACTTCTTGGCCTCTTATTGGTCGCATAACTTCACATAGAAGCGACTGCAGACGAAATGTTGATTTTGCGCATTGAGTAAACACGTCAATAGGAAGGATTACAGATTAGAATTTGAGAACACCGACATTTCAAATATGGAAACCAATTTAAATGAGAAAACAATTTTAGGAATGGCTTACATCACCAACGAAGAACATTGTATGAATACTGCAATTTGAGCCAATTTTATACATTTCTACTTCAACACGAGAAAGATAAGAGAAAATCGCCCAGAATTTTTCCACACGACACTGTCAAAATTTTACTTATTTCAAAATTTGTTATGCTTTTCATTNAGACATATTTCAAAAAGTTATCGAAATTAGATTTTTCTGTAACAATTATTTTCCTTCAATGTTATTTTCACACAAACTGAACCTTGTTTATATCGTTTGCACTTTGACAAATATGCCAGTTACTTTATCTATTATTAGAATATAACAATATTCAAAATGAATAAGTTTTACTCACATTCAGAAAAGTTTTCACAATATAACTCACAAATGTAATATTCACTGATTTCTTGACAACTGAAAGTCAATATGAAATGAGTTTGCATACTGGAATATGGATTGTGTAGGGAGTATCCATGGAAGGGGTATTTTGGAAATCTTCCATATTCTTTCCTCGAATCGAAAAATTCAAAAAAACAGGTAACAAGGCGATTTGTTCATATTAGGTCTCGAAAGACAATACCCCATTACAAATTCCGAAATGAGATAAAGGAATCAGGTAGATTTATTTAGGTATATTCAAATATCCAGGTGAAGTGCTTTTCAGTTTATGTTTATTTTATCCTTCTGGATAATTTTCGAGAGTGAAGATGGAAAAGAGCAATGAAAGTCAATTGGAAGTTTTATAAATTGCCAAAGTTTCGACATATAAATACGTCTTTCCGAGGCTGAAATACATAATCGGGGTCAGATGAAAAAAATGAAAACGCAAGAAATCAAATCAAACGAACTACAATAATTGACAGCCATAAAAAGAGACAAAGTTATAGCTGTCCAGTAATGTGCTCTGTTTGACTTTGATTTCTGAAGTTTTCATTTGTTTCACTTCGAAAAATAGTAAAAAGAAACAAATAATTTTGTTGTGTTCAATGAAGGAGTTTATCAAAGAAGTATATGCATGATTCATTGCGTAAATTACAATTCTGCAGAGTTTTCTACATAAAATAAATTTCAAAACGAGAAGAACTCACTATTGATTTTTTTTTATGAAATTCTCCATCATACTGATACAAAAGTCATGCAAGGAACATTTTTGTGTATGGCTGGAGAGCCATACACAAAAATGATTCGACAAGCCATAGCTTCGAAGTTTGGCCAGCAAACCCTCATGCCACACACGGTCAAATATTCAAGGATATTGTGGCTTCCTTCTAACAAGAAGGAAAAACCTCTCTCTTCTAAGACAGGTTGAAAAGTCTGCAAAATACTGGTGCGAGTTCTGAGAGACGATTGGTTTATGAGAGTCGATGGTTTATGAATAACTACAGAGAAATTCCAAACTTCTATAGGAATACTAGTTGTTGCCCGCGGCTTCGCCCGCGTAGAATTTGGTAGTTGTAGTACTAATTAGTACTGTTGTATTGCTGCTGTTCCAATTTTTTGACAGAATCAGAATCAACGAACTTAGGCGTGCGCAGCGTTATAGAACAGTGCTTTCAAAAAATTGTTCTACAGCGCCATCTAGTGGCGAGTTACAGAAAAAATGATAGCCTGAAAACCTTCTTTATGAAAAACTAGTACTATGTTGCTGTATCGCTGCTGTTCCAATTTTTTGACAGAATCAGAATCAACGAACTTAGGCGTGCGAAGCGTTATAGAACAGTGCTTTCAAAAAATTGTTCTACAGCGCCATCTAGTGACGAGTTACAGAAAAATTGATAGCCTTAAAACCTTCTCTATGGAAAATTACTTATACATGTCAAGTTTCATCACGATCGGTTGAGCGATGTAGAAGTTTATCACTTACCAACCAACCAACCATAATATTTTTTGAGTTATTAACGAAAACTAAATACAATTTTTTCAAATCTTATTTTGTTAATAACAATTGCAATTTTTACCTGCACCAAAATCCTTCAAAAACATTTTTTAGAGGTGATTCCAAATCGAATGAGCTATCGCTCAAATTTTTAGAACCTTTATCTCTATTTTTCATGGTTTTGAACTTGTTGATCAGACTATTTCAGAAAGATATGTGAGGTGAAATGTTCATCTAAAGATATTGATTTCAAATTCCATCTCGACCTTGAACCAGATCAATTAGTTTTAGTTTTTGAGATATAAATATGCATAAAATAAACAAAGGAGATATTCATACTCAAGAATAATATCATTGATCAAAACACTACGTTTCAGTTTTTTTTTTTCATTTGATTTGTTACAGGTTCGTTAATCGTACTGATTGATACATTGAGCCACCGATAAACACCCATGCCGAAACAGAAAATATGTCGCAAAAAATTTCAAATTCATATTGAACTTTATTTTTCTTAGGGTTTGCCAGGATTGCCCGGTGAAATAGGTCTTCCAGGACAACCAGGACGATTGGGTTCTGCAGGTCCAAGGGGTGAACGAGGCCAACCTGGTACACCAGGTTTTCCAGTATGTGAAATGAACAATTTGGACTTCTCCAATAATACCTAAATTCTCATGCCTATTTCACTGTTGTTCAATTCGTAGGTCCAGAAAGTAATATTTCAAACAGAAAATATAACTCACGAAAAATGTAATATTCGTAACCATGTTCCATTTGAGCTCTGTGATTATTTTTCTAATGGTTTATCCAGTTCTTTGAACCAGAGAAATACTATACATAATTGGACAGTCTGAAAAGGGTTCAACAGCGAAGTAGTGGGTTTCAAATTTCAAATAAACGATAATCCTAAAACCATCCAACGCTATTATTTCGACAAATGAACTGTGGAATGACACCAAATTGTAAACTATTTAGAGAAAAAATAATCTGTAAGAAATATAGCCACATTAAATACTCATTCTGCTATTTAATGATGAACATTGACGATCGGAAAATCAAATTGTCACCTTGTTTCAAATAATTTTCCCCAAGACATTTTTTGACAGTAGTTTATATATTTTCCATACAAATTGTCTTTATCCCACCTAGACCTGCCTCTCTTTTGGCTGATTGTCCGGCTCAAGACACCTGGTGTTTGATCAATGATTTCTAAATATTCTAATGAATTTTCGTTTCTTACTGAAAGGAATGAATAGTTCTTTTTTATGTTACTTGAATTAATGGTTGTGTCCAGATCTATTTTTGTGTATCTGACTTAGACCTGCCTCCCTTCCGGCTGATTGTCTGATCCAAGACTCCTGGTCTTTGATCAATGATTTCTATTGATTTCTAATAATTCTTATGAATTTTTGTTTCTTACTGAAAAGAATGAATAGTTTTTTTTACTTGAATTCATGGTTGTATCCAGATGTAGTATTGTCTTTATCTCAATTGAACCTGCCTCCCTTTCGGCTGATTGACTGATCCAAGACTCTTGGTCGTTGATCAATGATTTCTATTAATTTCTATTAATTCTTATGAACTTTTATTTTCTACTGAAACGAATGAATAGTTTTTTTTCTTACTTGAATTCATGGTTGTATCCAGATCTAGTATTGTTTTTATCTTCATTAGACCTGCCTCCCTTCCGGCTGATTGTCTGATCCAAGACTCCTGGTCTTTGATCAATGATTTTTATTGATTTCTACTAATTCTTATGAATTTTTATTTCTTACTGAAAGGAATGAACAGATTTTTTTTTCTCACTTGAATTCATGGTTGTATCCAGATATACTATTGTTTTTATCTCAATTAGACCTGCCCCCCTTCCGGCTGATTATCTGATCCAAGACTCCTGGTCTTTGATCAATGATTTCTATTGATTTCTGATAATTATGAATTTCAATTTCTTACTGAAAGGAATAAATAGTTTTTTTTTTCTCACTTGAATTCATGGTTGTATCCAGATATAGTATTGAATTTCACTTGTTCGGACTTCCATTGTCTATTATATAAAATGATTTGAAATCCCTGAAACAAGTAAAAAAGAATAATTAAAAAGAGAATAGTTGAAAATAACAATTATATTAAGCAAAAATAAACCTGAAATGAAATGATAGTGAAATAACCTACAAAAGACCTGCCTCCCTTCCGGCTGATTGTCTGATCCAAGACTCCTGGTCTTTGATCAATGATTTCTATTGATTTCTAATAATTCTTATGAATTTTTGATTTCTCAAAAAGAGTATTTGAATCAGCTCACTGAATTAGATATACTATTGTTTTTATCTCAATTAGACCTGCCTCCCTTTCGGCTGATTGTCTGATCCAAGACTCCTGGTCTTTGATCGATGGTTTCTATTGATTTCTAATAATTCTTATGAATTTTCATTCCTTACTGGAATGAATGAATAGTTCTTTTTTTGTTACTTGAAAAAATGATTGTGTTCAGATCTAGTTTTGTCTTTATCTCACTTAGACCTGCCTCTCTTTCGACTGATTGTCTGATCCAAGACTCCTGGTCTTTGAACAATGATTTCTATTGATTACTAATGATTCTTATAGATTTTTATTTCTTACTGAAAGGAATGAATAGTTATTTTTTTTACTTGAATTCATGGTTGTATCCAGATCTAGTATTTGTCTTTATCTCAATCAGACCTGTCTCCCTTTCGGCTGATTGACTTATCCAAGACTCCTGGTCGTTGATCAATGATTTCTATTAATTTCTATTATTTCTTATGAATTTTTATTTTCTACTGAAACGAATGAATAGTTCTTTTTTTTCTTACTTGAATTCATGGTTGTGTCCAGATCTAGGAAAATTACGCAACATGATATTCGCTTAGGCGTTTCCCAAGAACTGAACGCCACCACTGATTTATTGTTATTCATTTATTTTTTTTAAATTTACTGTTATTATTATCGAACATATGTAACATCCATTATAGACAGGAATATGTATCTGACTTTAATAAATTGATTGATTGATTGATCAGTATCAAAGAATTGAACAACATGAAATAGACATGCAAAAAAGTCCAGGGCCTCTACACTCACCCATGAATTTTCATAAATAATTACTATTACTGATAACCCAAAAGTATTAACTCAATTAATTTCTAATCTAGCACCAGCGTAGCTTCGAAACTGAGCAAGGTTTTATCCACTGAATGTTTTTTTCGCACCTTAACAACCTATTAACTTTCACATGTCACAAACCTCTTTTATCTATATACCTCAAGCTTTTTCATGAAATTCGTAACACTGAATATGCTCACAAAGTGGCACTTCTTGACGTAACGGAAAACTTTCTCTAACTTCCGGTTTTTCAAATTTTGATTTTCAAATAAAACACCCTGTATACCATTACATCCTAGAAATAGCATACTTTCCTAAATCCGATGATACCCCATAGTTGGTATTTGAACTGTGGGTTGAAACACATAGTTCTGTAGAATGGCCTGCAAGATCAGCCGACTTTACCCCTCTGAACTTCTTGTAGGTCCTCGCAGATTATTGGGGAAGACGTTATTTTGATGAACTGTTATAGTTAGTTGTTGGAGATCGTACTAATAACATAAATGAATCGATAGTTCCTCTCCATGAGTATAGTCACTGTGTCGAATTTCGGAAAAATAGCTGTATAAATGAAGAATTGATGGGGAGTGTACCATAAATCCAAACTCTGTTCTTCAAAATACTTGAAGAAGTTTCTCTTTCGACATTATCGTACGAGATATCGTACAACTGATGATAAGTTCAAGCAAATTGTCAACATTACATATAAATCAGCTGCATATACACTTTTTTTGTTGAGAACTTATGGCATTTTCAACTCATTTCTGTTATTAATACGAATACCAACAATGTACTCAGTAACTAAGTTCGTTTGAAGGTGGTTGACAAAATTTGTTTTATCGTTTCAAAGCAACTGCCTGATAACCTGAAAGACGTCAAGAGAGGTTGAGTCAGGTGATCTGATAGGGCACTTGACAGAAACATGTGTTTCAATCACCGGATTCAGAAAGTTATATAGATAAAAGAAATGTAATAGTATACAGGTTGTATCATTTGAAATCAACCTTTGATGTCATGTACAGAAAAACCGAATTTGGTAAAAATAGCTTGAGAAATAAAGAAAAGAAAGGGGTGTACCATGAGTCTATGTCACCCGGTATGCAGATGTAACTCACACTTCATATATAATAGCAGAATGTCAATATCAACAAAGAGCTGATCAAGGTTTGTTATGAATACGAGTAATATTGACCACACTGCAGTTACCGTAAGGATTCCTTAAAGAAAAAGTATTCACCCACATAACGTTCCTTGAAGTAAAATAAAAAGTGAGATAGAATTGTGGTGTATGAATGGTCCAATTTATAATTTATATTGTGACAACTTTTCAGAAGTAGAAAGAAAGATAAAGTAGAGAGTAAAGGTTTGGTGAATGACGACAGCCATAATGACAGCCATGAATGTATTTTCCTATTTCCAATCGGAAAACAGTTACTTTTCACTACGTCTTTGATATAAGATATATATGATGTATACTGAAACTGAAATTTTATAAATACTTCAACCGCATATGCGAATATCCCAAAAGTTAAGAAAATTATTTTTTACTATATTCGATACATACGAAGAATGTGTTTAATAAGTGATCCCATTCTTGATTACATTCTTTCGAGAATTTGATATGATAAATGGATATGATTCTGATGACGGCTTTTTTCAATATTACGTCAACTCATGTTTTCAACAACAGACACGTATTTTTGGTAAAATCATGGTTTCATCGACATTTTCAGTAGTTGCCACATCTTATTCCAGATCTGAATGTACACAATCCATTAATTTTTATAAAACACACTGTATGAAAAATTGCTCTCAGATCATGAAAACAAAAAATCTTTCAGTTCTCTTCATTTTCATGGAATCTCAAAACTAGTTTTTGCAAAATCTCATCATCTTGTAAGAGTAAAGTATATCTTTGAAAAATTTTAGCATGGTTCCAAGTTACTCTCTTCATTTATTTATCGAGGTTATCTTTAAACAACATCATAATTAATATAAAATAATCTTCAATTAGGGTTCCCCAGGATTACAAGGAATGCCGGGAATAAGAGGACCTCAAGGCATACCAGGTTCTTCAGGAANCGAGGTTATCTTTAAAAAACATCATAATTAATATAAAATAATCTTCAATTAGGGTTCCCCAGGATTACAAGGAATGCCGGGAATAAGAGGACCTCAAGGCATACCAGGTTCTTCAGGAATTCCTGGAAAAGATGGAATACCAGGCCAAAATGGTGAGAAGGTAAGAAATGTTGAAAAAACACAAATAAATCATGAATTATACCTTAAGTTTTGAACCAAAGACCTTGAAGAGCCTCGTTTATCTTTACTGTTTTCTTTTGTCGATCCCCAAGATAGCGCCTTCTTTTTTACATACTCAGGCTTGTCCTTGAAGGATAGTTGGGTTCGGTAATGCTTTGTTTGTGGGTCTGGTTCCAAAAAGAAAATGAAGTTTCAGTTACCCTAATAATTAGTTACCCTAACTCTGATGAATTTGAAAGCTGCGAATTGAAAATTATTCTTTTATCAAACAACAGCTTTCTCAAAATATTTTATTGAACAGTATCTTCATTTTCGATAATATTTTTCGAAGAAGAAAGTCAAGAGTGTGTGCAGGTCATTCAAAATCCATTGGAAGAAAAATTGTATGAACTGTCACTTACTGTTGAAATCAGAACTACTGAATGATTTCAACAGTGATCAAGTTATTGGAATGTAGCATAATAAAAATGATATTTTTTATTGTCATTAGATCCAAGAGGATATTCACATGGTCCAGTATACATGTTTCATATCAATAAATAGATCCAAACACAATAGACAGTGAGATATTCCTCAATTGAATAAAAACAATTATTTCCGTACAATAATAATGCCTACCAACGATTCCATACCTGCAAGAGGTACTTTTTCATGTGAATGTTATGCTCTTCAATCGTCCAACAAAAGTAACACTTCTTAGAATTAACTGCTTCTATCAACTCCTGATGCGGTTAACCCGTAGTGAGGGTCAAGTTTGTTAGATTTTATTCAAATCTTTGTTTATTTTCATAACAATCAACTCCGGATTTTCTACCCAGGCCGGATTTGGAAGTCTGGAGGCCTTGAGGCAACAAAGAAGTGTTACCCCTAGGCCTCCTTATTCATTTTCCAAAAAAAAATGTCTGTCAAATCTTTCAAACAATCATTGTCGGCAAAGAAAATTATCTCAACAAAGATTGTAGTAATTGTTAAAGTCAAATACAATTTATCAAAAACCGAATTATCGCGTTAACGAATGGAACTTTGCGAGCTTTTTTCGACGGAAAGTCGTTGATGGTTCCGCTGAAATGTAACTCCCGGAACTGCAGGGTCAACCGTTTTTAGGAATTTTTTACTTATTTTATTTCTCTTCAACTCATGAGTACAAATTACAAATCACATATAAAAAAGTATTGCCATTGGAACGCTCGATCAAATAAAATGCAAGAAAAAAACGTTTGGGAGGAAAATCGTAAAAGTTGTACGTTAAAGGTGAGACCTCGTTAGTCCTTAGCTCAAGTTTCTCAACTTCTAAGAGTTGTCTTTCGCCAAAACGTCATTCATTTCTGAGAATTTAGTGTCTACTATTTTGGAATTATAGTATAGTTCGGACTTCCATTGTCTAATATGATTCTAATATGATTTGAAATCTCTGAAAGAACGAATAAAATTGAAATGAATAGTTAAAAATGTCAGTTATATTGANTCTTTGATCTGACTGAATGAGTTATTGATTGGTTATAAAATATTGATTTGTCTTCTAATTAAAGCTCGATGTAATGACCACTGTATAATTTTCATAGGGTTTGCCCGGAGTAGAAGGTGTGAGATGCCCCACAGGACTCCCAGGGGAGAGAGGCTATCCTGGTCGTGATGGAACAGATGGACGTCCTGGACCGACAGGTTTGAAAGGAGAAAGGGGTGAACCTGGTTTGAGAGGAGAAAGGGGATACACGGGAGTACCTATAAGTTTTTCAACTGAATTATTGATGCCAATACTCTGTGATACATTTGGTATTATGGGCATTTGAAAATCAGTACATTAGTTTAGTATTTAGTGATATTATTTGAACTGCTCATTGAGTAACGAGCAGAGATGTGTTACCATCTGTATCAGGGTATTTTAACTGGGTGGCAACCCCAAGGAAAATTGATCAGGCTTAACTAGGGAAGTGAATAGAGAAAAAGGCGAATGTAGATCATACAGTATAATTAAAGAAAAACTGCAATTCCAATGCAAATCTGTGCCTGTTTATCTGTTTTTTTTAACAATTCACCGTGACGAGGTTCTATTAGAAACATCAACAAGCAAATCATTTTCTGAATGTTGTCTATTTTTTTTTCCATTCCAATTTTCATAACAAAAATTTGTTAATTTTCTCCAATAAAAAGTGACTCGCGATACTAACATTTTGAAGGTCTCCTTGTCTTCTCTTCCCTACAGTATACTTCAAAAATTGGAGGTGAAAATCAACTTTACTCATGCCGTCAAATTGTAATTCAATATTTTTTTTTGTAATTCGCGGGTTGATCAGCCACTTCTTTTATTATATCAAAAATGCAGTTTATAACTATATACTAATATATGCAAGCTTATCAGCTCCAGAATCCAATTCTCGGCAAGAATCAAATCATGAAAGAAACATAAGATTTCGCTATGTGAGTATATTCTTACAGTAAGAACGTTTTTCCCTTGGCAAATTAATTGAAATTTAGCGAAAGAAATCACTAAGAAATTTGGCCAATAATATATTGATTCAGAATCTTGTGAACACATCAACAACTCAGCTTTCAGATGAAGAACTCTTGTCAATATTTGTCCCATAAATGATTCCGAATTGTCAGACTAAAAGGCTACACCTTCAAAAATGTTAACAATAATGATTACCCATTCAAGCGCCTTATTGAAATTAGAGTGTAAAACTTTGGTTGTCATAGATTGTCAGTGAATAAAAATAGTGTAAAAAACCTAAAAAACGCGCTTTTAAAGAACATCGAACTGAAAAGTTAAAA